ATCATTAGTTAAGAAAATAAGCGCAGTGATTAAATTTGAACAACATGAAAATTCTAATAGCATGACATAACTAAGCTTTGAATAATTAGAAAAGGGTTACATTGTGTCTTAGTAAAAGAAAATTAGTTACTCAGAATCATGGTAACAAAGCAAAAATAAAACATGAAAAAAGAGATAAGAAAAACCCTTAGAGTTTAGAGGCATGGTCGCTCTTCCTTGCTCCATGGTTGAATTCCGAAATTTCTAGCACATCTTCCTTGAGCCCCACAACCTCTCCTCTAAAAAGAACCTAAAACCTAGTTAGAATGGGCCTAAACAAGTGGCCTTACACGAAGACTTGATTTCTGTTGGTAAAATTAAAGATAATTGCTATATTTATAGAATTTCGAAAATAAAACTTCACTATAAATTCGAAATAAGTACAAGAAAATAATGACAAGGAAAATTAAGAATACTTTACAGATGATCGAGTCTAGAACTTGGTTCTATCTCCTTAAGACGAAATTGCCTCCTCATAGGTGCTTTTAGGATTTGCTTGGCAAACGTCTCCCAGGATACAACGATCGGCTTCTTGTTGAAGTAGCACTACAATCCCCAAGAAAAGTGAACTCAAACTTGTGTATGAACTCTCTCTTACTAACTCACTATATTTCTAAAAATATAATGCTATGAATGCTCTAAATAATACTATTGTTGGATGACAATTGGATAAATCAAATGTTGTAGGATCTTCTCTCTTTATAGGCAACAAGGCCTCTGTTCAGAAAAGATGTGACTGAAAAAATATTAACAAATGTGTCTTTTCATGTTGCAACCATAAGCCAAGAAGTGCAATGTTTCAATTTCTATGAAACAATGCAACTTTTCATATATGAAACAATGCAACTTAAGCCAAGAAGTGCAATGTTTCAATTTCTATGAAACAATGCAACTTTTCATATATGAAACAATGCAACTTAAGCCAAGAAGTGCAATGTTTCAATTTCTATGAAACAATGCAACTTTTCATATATGAAACAATGCAACTTAAGCCAAGAAGTGCAATGTTTCAATTTCTATGAAACAATGCAACTTTTCATATATGAAACAATGCAACTTAAGCCAAGAAGTGCAATGTTTCAATTTCTATGAAACAATGCAACTTTTCATATATGAAACAATGCAACTTAAGCCAAGAAGTGCAATGTTTCAATTTCTATGAAACAATGCAACTTTTCATATATGAAACAATGCAACTTAAGCCAAGAAGTGCAATGTTTCAATTTCTATGAAACAATGCAACTTTTCATATATGAAACAATGCAACTTAAGCCAAGAAGTGCAATGTTTCAATTTCTATGAAACAATGCAACCTTTCATAACACATAAAGAATTATTATTTTACGAACAAAATAAATAATATTTTATTTTTCCTTGATTAAGAACATGACTATTCCCAATGGATACATACCATTTCATAAAAGTCATGTACTTAAAGTCACAAGTCCCACAATTTAATTTCCATTCAATTATTAAAAAATTAAATATATAATTTTCTAACAATTTCCAAGTCAGTTCCTAACTAGAAAAGGTAATTAAAACTAAGTTTCCTAAAACTTCCAGGAAACCGCACGTGATCCTCTTTGTAAATGCGATTTAAACACCTTTCTGACCTCCAGAAATTGCGTATGACCACTCTTTGGAAAGCTATGGATGTCTTCTTTTCAGCCATATATCATGTGCCTCAATCCGATGTCGTACGAGTGAGTTATGACCACAATACCCCTGCTAATTCAGTATTCTTCGAGAATTAATTTAGGCTAAGTTGTCTTATTAAAAATGGGCACCTTAGCAGTCTTTACAAATTATGAAAATATTCATGGACAAACTTCAAGATGCTATCTTCCATCTCCAATTGGAATCATGTCAAACTCTATTATGAGGAATATTTGGCGAATTTATATATTTCGTGGCGCATAAACTGAAAAACCAGAAAATAACTAAAATCAGCATCTTTTGTCCAAATTAATTCACAAAACTAAATAAAAAGGATATAAAATCATGTGAAATTATGAACATATCAACCCTAAAATATGAATTAGTTCCATCTTTCCCTTAACCCATTTTTATTTACTAGTTTCTCAATTTTTCCTTTTTTGTTAGGGACCTGCTTCCATCGCCCAAATTCTTACTCTCACATATTTAAGGTCTTCTCCCGCCTCCTTAAATATATCTTGAACCACACACACAAACCAACGAGAAAACCATTATTCAAGATGCATATAAGATGTTGCATAAATATTATTAATTTCTAATGAATAATCAAACATAAATAAGAATACTAAATTAATCATATAATGCCATTTATCTAAATAATATCATAAACATAACAAATATAACATCAGTAATATAATAAAAAATTACATAACAACTATATTAGCAATAACAATTAATAATAACATAATTAAATAACATAATCAATTTCATAAAACAATAACATTAACTATAATCATATTATAATACTAATTATAATCACGAAGATTAAAAATGATATAGTCTAATCATTGGGAAAAATAAGGACCCTACTCCTTGTCCAAAAAGCTAAAATGACGAAATTAGCCTTCAAAGGTTGCCAGGTTCCTCTCGTTCCTAGATTTGAAACATAACATAACTAGAGTTAGAAATACTAATTTAAAATAACATTCTTTCTCTTAATATAGAGAGCACACTCTCAAAGCTACAAATCTCGGAATGACCCGAAACATGTACCATCAAACACGGATTAAAAAATCCAATTGCATAGGTAAAATGTCCAGTGTCGGAGGTTGTCGGAACAGCCGCCACGCACCACCACTAGCCGGCGTCGCAAGTGGGCTTAGCATACAGGTACTATTCATCACCCCTACCAAAAGCTGAATTCCCTTCCCTTGTTTTTTCAAACTAAAACCTAGACTTTGTGAAACATTTTGACCAACCAAACATTAATGGATTTGGAAAAACTTGCAATGGGTTTGAAGCGTACCGAATTTTCAGTTTAAGATTTGTTTTGTTTTTGTAAAACTTTACGCCTTCATTTCACCTATCAAACCCTAACCAAAAAACAACAAAATAAAATGGATTTTGTTTCTTGACAAGTCCAATGTCAAACCCAATAAATGGATTCCTAAAAAACTTAAAGGATTGGAAGAAAAAGAGAGCCAAAGTGAGGCTCACGAACTAAAATTTTCCCTAAAAACTCAAATTTCCAAATTTGCCTCTAAGTTGTTTTCCACCATTCTAACACTCCTAGATTGTTCCTAAAGCTTTGACAACTCTTCTAAAGTTCAATTTTTCCTATCACTCAAGTGACTTAAAATACTCTTAAAGGAACTAGAATCAATCGAACACAAGGTTAAAAAAATCATAAATTCGGAGCTTAAGTCACCTTTGAAGATTTTGCCTCTAATCTCCAAATGCTTCATTTCTTCCTCACCAAACTTCCACCTCTGTTCATACCCATGCTAAGATATTATTCCAGATTATAATCATCATTACACTTAGCCTAGACTTGGTGCATCATCCCTAATAGACTCACAACTCACCCCAAATTAATATCAAAATCTCATTATGAGTAGAAGGTATAAGGAAAGGGGAGAGGAATGAAGGGAAAGGAGATATGTTGCCTACACGTTGCACAACAGTATGAGAATTAAGGTAAAATAAATAAATAATAATTTTTTTTCCTAGATGTTACACACTTGCCGATGGTACACATAAATTGGTAGAGTCCAACCTCATATCACTAATCCATGTTTTGGATATGAGAATTGTAACTATTGGTTCATGCTTAAGGTATGGATATCTTTCTTTGATATCCCTTCCCCGTATTTTTTCTTCAATGTTAAAAATGATTTTGCTTTAACATTGTTCCCCAATCTGACCTTCATTATAGTCATCTGTCTTAGGTAGTGTGCTTCTAAAAACATTATCCCACTCCACTTACTATGAAGCAAGGATGACAGCCTTCAATCGTACATATCCCACAACTGTTCCAAAGTATGGTGAACAATAGTTGGATAGGAGATGAACCATTTAGATGTTTCATGTTAATATATGTAGAAAATTTTTGTAAATTCTTCCACCTTTTTAGCCTTTGTTTTTCGATTTCAATTTTGAGCTATGTTTGAGTTTTTCTTTGTTTCCCTATTTTCTTTTATGTTTACTTGAAATTATGCCTACTATTAAACCAATTTATAGTCACCTATAAGACGAAGGAGTGCGCGCAATAGAAACAAAGTTAACATATTAAAAGATTCATTAACACACATATATATTGAATCTTTAGGATATGATAAATTGCTTTTTGTTAATATGAGCGTATCAATTACGCCATTGAGGAAGTGAAAAGAGTTAATATATTCAAAAATTTATCAACACGCGTATATACCAAATCTGAAGAACACACGTACTAATAACCAATACTGAAACGTCATTTGTTTAAAAAGTGGTTCCTTTCTTTTAGATAGTTGGCTTCTATTTCTAAATCGTGTGTTTTCTGGACTTTTAAAACGAGTGCCTAGAAAAATACGCACCATTAATCACACACACTTCATTAAAATAAGAAATTGTTGACACATGCATGTAGCAAATTGCAAAAATGAAAATAAAAAGGATTTTTGTATATATCACAAATGGTCCCTAAGGTTTTCGAAATTATCACCTTTTGTCCCTAACCTTTTTTTGTGACACTAGTGGTCCTTAATGACAGGACCCGACCCAAATTCCACTTTGGAATCCGAGTCAAACCCTGTGTGTGTCCGACACCTGGCAATTGCCGGGCACAATTGACCAAATTGCCCTTCTAACTAAAATTCAATGAAAATCAAGTGCGACTTCTGCCGAAAATTTGGCAGAGTCTCCCCTGTAAATTGATCATTTCCCAAAAATTACCACCTGTAAAACAAGCACATATATTTATATATAACCCAACTACCAGCATGTATCGAATTAAATCCAAAAATCAAGCATCAAATCATTCTGGCCTAGGCGTACCCCCATTCCTGTTCCGTCAATTCCATCCTCGCAGGTCTCGGAGATACTACTTCTATCCGAGTCGCAATGCTCGCAGGTCTCAGAGATAACTCTTCAATCTGAGCCACAATGCTCTCTGATCTCGGGGATACCACTTCTATCTGAGCCGCAATACTCGCAGGTCTCAGAGATAACTCTTCAATCTGAGCCGCAATGCTCGTAGGTCTCAGAGATAACTCTTCCATCTGAGCCGCAATGCTCCAGGTCTCGGAGATACCACTTCTATCCGAGCCGCAATACTCGCAGGTCTCAGAGATAACTCTTCACTCTTAGCCGCAATGCTCGCAGGTCTCGGAGATATCACTTCTATCCGAGTCGCAATACTCGCAGGTCTCAGAGATAACTCTTCAATCTGAGCCACAATGCTTGCAGGTCTCGGAGATACCACTTCTATCCGAGCCGCAATACTCGCAGGTCTCAGAGATAACTCTTCAATCTGAGCCGCAATGCTCGCAGGTCTCGGAGATACCACTTCTATCCGAGCCGCAATACTCGCACCACACGGTTCAAGCGTCCCCGAAACTCGTGGGGCATTATTTATGAATGACACTGTTTCAAGTAACTAAGGGGTACCCTTGTGATGGGTTTGAAAAATCGTATCCCAAACTTATATCAATACTTTCCTTTATTTTACAATCTAATTCCTGGCCTTATATCAATTTACTAGTAAATTGATTCAGATCACTCACTCCTGGTCAGGACTCGTTTACATGGTCCTTCTAACCCTTCTCAAAGGATATAACTACCTCAAAAGACTCACGGTCAACCGAGGGGTCAAACCGCCTAAACTTGGTCAACCGGGCCCGCGGGGCCCACGACCTCCTATCACAAATCCGGGAGTCCCTAAAGGTTCCAATATGCCTAGGACACATGTCCCGAAAGTTTTGGTCTCGATCGGACGGTCGGATTAATCACAATCGTACGATCAGACGGTTACTATAAACCTCGCCCTATGGTTGGCGTTTCTGGAGTATCCGGGACTCCATTTTAGGATCCGTCGAATCCTATACGATCCTAGAAATGTCTAGATCAACATATATGGAATTGACTACGATCCAACGGTTCAAACGTATCGAACCCGAATATCGCACAATAGGCGAGATTCGTTCGGGGTTCAAACGTTATCCAAATTGAAATTCGCAAATTCCTACGCGCTCGTGAGGATACGAGGATCGTTCTAGGACCAAAAGTGATCCCCGATACCTAGCCCACGCGCAGCCCACACGCCGGCAGCGCGTGGGTGTACATAGTAAATTCCTGCGGCTGGAAAATCTCCAAACCGCCGGCCCAAACTCCTACCCTAGGTAAAACACCCTATTTGGAACCACTTTTCTTCTTGGACCTACCCCAAAAAGTAGCGGGAAGTGGCCAGAATCGCGATCCCAAAACCGGTTGAAACCCACTTCGAAAATCGAACTACCTAGGCTCACAATTGATAGATTCTTACCCAACCATCAGCTAGATCATGAAAAATAGGTGAGAAAGCATACCTCACTCGCATGAAACGGTGGCCGGAGGAGGGAGAACGAACCGCCGAAAGTTTACGAAAAAGCTGTCCACAACCGCCTGTTTGTAGGCTGTTTCCGGTGATTACGGCGGCGGATCGAGGCGGCGAAGGGCTGGGGGTAAAATCCCAGGTGTAAAATTGTCTTTTTCTTGAATAATTTAATATTTAACTATTAATTTAGGACCGGGTCGTTACACTTAAGGTTACCCTTCACACATCAAAATGGTCCATGCCGTTAGCTTTCATCAAATTTTTTGTTAAATTGCTGACGTGACACATGTGTGGAGCCCACTTATCCAATGGTATAAAGACACATGGCTTAAATATAATATAATATTTTAAAAATATTTTTAAAACTTAAAATCCATTCCACGTGGCTATAAATTTTATTTTCCAAATTAAGCTATTAATTTGACTTTCTTATATTTTGCCCTTATTCTTTTCGGATCTCCTCTACATTGCAGTCGTCCCTAATAATTGGATTCTTCACGGCAGCACCATCAAGCCACGCGCCATTGTAACAAGATTTTTCTTTTACTTTCTTATAATTTCTAAGCAACCAAAGCATTGAAGATTCAAGACCCCTTGATTAAAAAAAAAAAAACCAATATCTGTTAAGCACACAAACGCATTGCTGAATGACTAATCTGATGAACTTTGATACAATGCCCATCCACATCTCTGAAGTTGGTTTTTAATATTTGTTTCTTCCTTCGTCTTTTTAAACCCAATAACCCACCCAATTTGTGAAAGATGCAAAGCAATTATAATTGAAGCGTTACAAAGAACAAAAACGATTTAAGTGAGGAACCAACTGTGGACGAGAGATTTGGAAAGGAAAAGGGCAAGCTGGAGAGGGAGAGGGAGGAAGAGAAGGGAGGAAATGGAGGAAGAAGAGGGAGAGAGGAGTAGGTCTGCGAGGGGGGAGGGAAAGAGAACACACAGAGAGGGACATAGAGAAAGATATTTAAAATTATTTATAAAAAGACTTGAGTAGCTTTTAAATTATTTTTTTTGATGGATTTTAAGTTTTAAAAATATTTAAAATATATTATATTCACATGGTTCTACTCCATTTGATTTGTGGGCTCTACAAATGTGCTATGTCAGTAATGTAATAGAAAATTTGACAGAAGCTAATGGCACGGACCGTTTTGACGGAGGGTAACTTTAAAGACCATTACTGTCATAAAAAAAGGAAAATGATTTTCCCACTCCCCTTTTATCCGAGTCTGGTTTACCTGTTACCAAAGTTCCTGTGCCCCCCTGTTCTGCCCCTTTCTCTTTGGTTTCCCTCTCCCCCTCTCTCCTTCGTCTCCCCTCCTCTCCTTCCTTTTTGTTCTCTTTTCCAAATCTCCACCTCCACGTTTTTTCTTTCTCTCTTTTTTTTTTTTGCTTTGTTTTTCTTTTTCTCCCTGTTATAAACCTAACTCACCGCGACCATGGAAGACCATCTTTCGAGCACCGAGTTGGTAGAGCCTCTTAACACAAACAATTAGGATAATAAACATAAGTTTTATGGTTCTCCAAAATGTGGAATGTTGTAAACATAAACCAGAAACTCAGAAAGAAGAGAAATATTACTAACCGTAAATTGCCCCTCTAATGTGGTGATTAATAGTTCCACAAATTCATCGTAAGTGTACTGCTGACCATCAGCTAAAAAGGGTTGCAAGTAATTGTTGACATAATCATTGCTGCCTGAAAATTAAATAGAAAACATGAGAGAAATTGAGGAAATGTTGCAATATCCCCTGAAGAAAATGAGTTGTTTTCATGTCAAAGATATTTCATTTGGGTCATTTGTGTATTAACAGATTACCAATTCCAATGAAGTAGACGGCTTCACTGCAAAGCTTGGCTGCAGCCTCTCCCCCAATCTTAGCCTTGATGGCTTCCTTTGTCTTGTTGAAATTTTGTATTTGATCATCAAAGGACAATCTCTGAATCTGTGGCAGAGCCTAAAAAACACTCAATATTTTGCAAAACTCCAGGGTCATAATCTGATCAACAAAAGAAAATTAATATTTTGAAAGAAATGTGCTTACAAAATAGAGTCCAGTGTCATTGAGAATTCCTGGGCGACAAGATATCCCTTCGAGCAGTGCATCATCATTTTGTGACACGGAAAGATAAGGTGGCGGTGATGGAATCCCAAACTTTTCAGCTACAAAATTTCCAAAGGAAAAAATAAAAAGAATTATGAACTCTTGAAATAAAGGAAGTAAAGGAAAAGAAAAATATGGATGTGGGGTAATTGGACTACATATTATATCCCCAATGGTCCTTCCATTAGTGAACCTCCCAGTAGCTTGACCACCAGCATAATCGACACCATACCAAGGATAATTTGACTTTGCAAGAGAATACTGCATATAATTGTTTTTCTTTTGCATAGGACAGAAAAAGAAAAAGAAAGCAAAAGCAAAAAAAAAAAAAGAGAGAAGAAACGTGGAGGTGGAGATTTGGAAAAGAGAACAAGAAAGGAAGGATCGAAGGGGAGACGAAGGAGAGAGGGGAAAAGGAAACCAGATAGAAAGGGGCAGAACAGGAGAAAAAGCAAAAAAAACAAACAGTAAAAAGAAGAAAAAGAGTTAACAGAGTTAAGTGGTGTTAAGTGGCTTGCCACATGTCACGAAACTAGCAGTGAAACAAGGGGGCACAGGAACTTTGGTAACTGGTCAACCGGACTCCTTTTATTCGCCTACACTCCTTTTTGTTTAGAAAAATTGAGTGTAAGTGGATAAAAAGGAAGTGGGAAAATCAGTACCCTAAAAAAACGTTAGGGATCAAAGGTGATAATTTTACAAACCTCAAGGACCATTTGTGATTAAAAAAAAAAAAAACCAAATAAAAAAGGACTTTGTAAGTCGCCCATAGAGCAAATGATCGAAAGATGCCTCCCACACGCACAGAAGTGCTTGCAGAAATGCTAGTGATAAGTAACACATCCCAAATATCGGCATGAATCATTCCACTGATTCTCCTAACATGTACTAACATTGAAATATTAATGCTCATATGATAATATATATACTCATAAAAACGATAACTTTTAAATGAGGATGTCCTCATGTAAAAAAAAATGTAAACATTCTTCTTAATGCTAGTGCCACACCCATAGTACAATATTAATGTTGTTGTTTTTAGAACATTAACGTTGTCTTTTAATGATCAACTCGTGATCGAGAAAAAATACGACAGAAAGAAGGAGGCTTACGCAAAAATTTGGGCGGTGACCGAGGTGCTTGACACCTTTTGAAGGCGACAACTTTTGCCTATAAATAGCATACCAATTCTCATTTTTCATGACAACTAATCTCTCAACAAACTCAAGCTGAAATGTTGTTCAACTTAGGAAAAATTTACTGCTTTCTTAGGATTCAACGTAGGATATCACCAAGAACTCTGAAGATTGTTCAAAGTTCTTAAGCACCACCATTGTAATCATCCATTCAGTATATCAACAAACAACCCTGTTCTTCATAGAGATTCGTTTGAGCACCATCCAATCCAGCCGAACACGGTAGCGGAATGAGAACTAGCACACCGCTCAACTCACACACCAAGAAGGTCATCCTATTTTCTAATCACTATAATTGAATAATTGACCGAAAGATTTTTGGAGCAACAATATCTTATATGAATAATCCAGAACATGATGCTCATCAATGACATGACACTCAACAACCAAAGTTTCTTGCCATTTTCAACTCAAAACACCTAAACTTTGCTGCAACCCCTTGGTCCCTTTTGCCATACGAATATGTAGTAGGTGCAACAGAGGGAATAAACATATGTGTAGGAAAGAATACATCAACACAAAACAAAATTAAGAATAAAAAAGCCAAGGCGGGGTTACCGTAATGGTTGTGGCCTTCTCCCTTCCCCCTTCTTGGTACCCAAGATCGAAACCCCATGTTGTCTTTCCTCCTACTTCACCAAAAAAAATAAGCACAAAAAAATGTAGTACATGCATCTCAAGTACGCACAAGATTTTGAACTTGGTTTTAGTCAACTCTCCACTTTTAGCACCCAATTTGATGTTGTGGGAAGGTAGATGGACATCAATGGTCAAGGCTAATAACTACTATATAATTGCTCCAATCAACTGGGAATTAAACTCCAATTGTTTTGCGTTCAATCTCCTAGTATTTCATTAAGTGTTCATCCCCATATACAAAGCACACTACTTATTGAGATGATTCAAGAGTACACATGCCAAGTTGTACGGACATTGATCAATGCATTTCACAACATATATGCAAAGGTATCTATCAAAGAAAAAAAATAGACTGGACCAATTCCTTCAATTCAGTTCTCTGACAAGATTAAAGACTGTCTGTATCGCCCTTGGAAGTCTGCAATCATCATCAAACTCATGGGTAGGCCGCTCACCTTTAATTTCCTTCGTGAACGGCTTCTTCAAATATGGAGACTCAAGGGGCCGATGACCCTAATAGATCTAGAAAATAATTTTTTCATTGTGAAATTCTTGCTCGATGAAGACATGAAATATGTCCTTACTGGAGGGCCTTGGCAGATCGCGGGACAGTACGTAACAACTCAGAGGTGGAAGCCTGGTTTTGATCCAAAAGAAGAAAAGATTACGCACATGACTGCTTGGGTAAGAATAAATGGTCTCAATGTTGAATTTTTCAGATTTGATGTCTTGGAGAGAATAGGCAATTTAATTGGGAATACAGTTAAAGTTGATTCTCATACTATGAGCCAATCGAGAGGGAAATTTGCTCGTATCTGTATTGAACTTGATATTTCCAAACCTTTAACTCCTTTTATTGAAGTGGAGGGGCGCACCTATGGGGTGGTCTATGAGGGTATCCATTTGATATGCTTTGAATGTGGTTGCTATGGACATGGGAGGGATAATTGCCCACTAATTTTAAAGGCTAAAGCTCGGGCTAATAGAGCTGATGACGCAGAGAATTTGAAGGATCTTAATGCTCAGGACAATAGAGCTGCTGAAACTATTATTTTGGAGAACAACCCCACTAAGAAGGTGGTTGGGGCTGCTGTGTGTGATCCTACTAATGTAACTGCTAAGAACTCTTCTAATCTCCTTGGCCAGTGGATGCTGCTAAAGACCAAAAATGCCAAGAAGAAAACCGCCTCTAATTTAGGAAAAGTGCATGCTGAGCAAAAGAAAACTTCAGCGAGTACAGGTTCTCGCTTTTCTGTCTTAGATGCAGATGGGAACTTAGGTGGTACCTCTGTGACTGCCAGTACTTCCAAACCGACTACCTTCACTAGCACAAAAAAGTCCCCTCAACTTGTGCCACACAAGTCTGATCCCAAGAAAAGCTTTAACTACAGAAACTCAGGAATGGGGAAGCAATCCGCCTCTGCTCGTGCGGCCAACCCTTGGGTCTCCAAAAAACCTCTTCATGATATCTCCAATACTTCCCATCTAAGGAAGGATGGAGTTAGACCTTCCCCTGCCCCCAGACTTAACAGACCCGTTGATGTGGATGCTGTTGGGGTACAAGTGCAAGGTTCTGATTTTCAGGATGACGTTCAAGGTGTCTTCTCTTTTAATGTGGGGGTTCCTTTTTCCTCTACTGTCCATTTTGATAAAGGTCCCTTGCCTCAAGAACAAAATCCTCCTGATACTGATATTATGGACATCATTAGTGATGGAAATGCACCTACTGCTCACACTTCCGTCTCTAATGGCCCTCCTAGCTCGGATTTTGGATTGAGCAATGATCTGCCAAATGCTAATGATGCCTCTGCTGCAGTCCAGATTGACAGATTTTTCTGCTGTTAAGGTTAACCCTCAGGTTACCCCCTTATCTTACATCCTTATAATGATAATTGTCACTTGGAATGTTAGGGGTGCTGGCAAGGATAAGTGTGCTTCCACCATTAAGGATTTAAAAAAGGCTTATGCTATTGATGTTTTTGCTGTGCTTGAACCTAGAATTAGCGGTTCCAGAGCTCTCAATGTCGCCAAGAATTTGGGTTTTTCCCACTACCATATTGTTGATGCCATTGGGTTTTCTGGAGGTGTTTGGCTGCTTTGGAATGACTTTTCTGTTTCTCTTCAGGTCATCGCTCACTCAAGTCAGTCTATTACTGCTATTGTTCATTTCAGGAATAAGTGGTGGCTCCTAACTGTGGTTTACGCTAATCCTCATTCTAGGATTAGAGAATCCTTATGGACCTATTTTGATGGTCTTGCTAAAGCTTCCAATCTGCCCTGGCTAGTTATGGGAGATTTTAATGATACCGTTTGTGCTACTGAGAAATGTGGTGGAAACTTTGATCCTGGGGGTTCAAGCTTTGTTAATTGGATTGATCGTAATCAACTTATTGACCTTGGCTTCTCTGGTGCGAAGTTTACTTGGTGCAACAAACGAAATACCGAGGGTATTATTTGGAAAAGGCTTGACAGGGGGCTTAGTAATATTTCATGGCGTCTCCTCTTTCCTGAAGCTCACCTCTCCCACTTGACCAGAGTTAATTCTGATCACTGCCCCATCATGATTCGGTTGGATTCTAATCACTCCTGCAATAGAGATAGTATTCCTTTCCGGTTCCAAGCTATGTGGCTTTCCCATCCGGACTTTGGTGCGTTTATCAGGGACTCTTGGAACTCGTGCACTGGTCATGCTGTTCAGAAAACTTTCAACCTTGTCCCTCCTCTCACCTACTGGAACAAGCAGGTTTTTGGTTGTATCTTCCAAAGGAAAAGAATGTTATTGGCAAGACTTGCTGGAATCCAAAAAAAGTTATGTATTGCTCCAAACCCTTTTCTTAGTCAACTTGATGCTAAGCTCTCTAGTGAGTATAATCTCCTTCTCGATCAGGAAGAGTTGTTTTGGATGCAAAAATCCAGGAATACTTGGCTAAAGGAAGGTGATAGAAATACCCATTTTTTCCATCTCTCAACTATTATTAGGAGAAGGAGAAACAAGCTTGAAGGTTTAAAAAATACTATTGGTGAAACAAGCTTGAAGGTTTAAAAAATACTATTGACAGACAAGCATGGCATGAAACAGATTGTGGTGAATTATTTTGTTGAGCTTTTTTCTGATTCTGGAATAATTGGTGACTATAATCTTACTCCACAGTTATTTCCTAGCCTTGAGGAGGCAGATTTAGATGGCTTAAGCACTACTGTTTCTGATGAGGAAATCAACCATTCCTTATTTTCCATTGGTGGTTTAAAAACTCCCGGGCCTGATGGTTTTCCAGCTATCTTTTATCAAAGGTTTTGGGATCTTTGTTCTATTGACCTCATTACCCTCATTAGAAATTGCTTTCAGACTGCAACTCTGCCTGAGCATCTCAATGAGACCCTTATTGCTTTGATCCCCAAAGTTGATATTCCTGTTTACATGACTCAACTTAGGCCTATTAGCTTGTGCAACACCATCTATAAAGTGATCTCTAAGATTCTGGTTGCTAGACTTCGCCCCTGCATGGCAAACCTCATCAGTCCCAATCAAGTAAGTTTTGTTCCGGGGAGACAAATTACAGATAATATCATTGTTGCCCAGGAAATGTTACACAAATTCAAGAATTCTAAAGGTAAGAAAGGGTTCATTGCCTGGAAGATTGATTTGTCTAAGGCCTATGATCGTCTTAACTGGGATTTTATCAAGAATGTGCTTTGGGAAGTTGGAATTAGGGGTAGAATCCTTGAGCTCCTAATGCACTGTATCACTTCAGTCAAGTACCAGGTCATTCTGAATGGCGAGGTTACCTCTGCTTTCTACCCTCATTGTGGCATCAGGCAAGGAGATCCTCTCTCTCCTTATATTTTTGTTCTCTGCATGGAAAAGCTTTCCCATATCATTCAACAGAAGATTCATGACAATGTTTGGAAACCTGTTCAAATTTGTCAGGGTGGTCCTTTTATATCTCACCTTTTCTTTGCTGATGATCTAATCCTTTTTGGAGAAGCTTCTACCACTCAAGCGACCTTGATGAAGCATTGCCTTGATGATTTTGGTAACCTTTCTGGTCAAAAGGTTAGCTTTGAAAAGTCTACCATTTGTGTTTCCCCAAACACTAATGCTGATTTGGCCAATGCTATTGCTACCATCAGTGGTTCCCCCCTCACTGCTTGCCTTGGAAAATACCTTGGTGTTCCTCTCATCCATTCTAGAGTCACTAAAGGTACGTACCAAGAGATCATTGACAAAGTTCAGAAAAGACTTTCTTCTTGGAAGAGTAAAACTCTCTCTATGGCTGGTAGAATTACTCTTCTTCAATCTGTTACTGTTGCGATCCCTCTTTACACTATGCAAACTGCCCCCCTGCCCATATCTATTTGTAACAAGTTGGATCAGATTAATAGAAATTTTCTATGGGGACACAATCCTGAGACAACTAAGGCCCACTTGGTCAAGTGGGAGACAGTGTGTAAACCAAAGTGTTTTGGTGGTTTGGGTATTAAAAAATCAGCTTGCATGAACAAAGCCTTGCTAGCTAAAACTGGTTGGCATCTTCTTCAACAGGAGCAGGGTTTATGGGCCCAAGTTTTTAAGGCCAAATATCTGAAACATGGGGGAATCCTTGATATTAATGACTTACATCATAGTTGTTCCTCTAGTGTCTGGAGGGGTGTGTTATATGGCTCCACAGTCCTTGCCCAAGGTATTAGATGGAGAATTGGATCTGGGGATGATGTTTTATTCTGGACAGATGTTGCATTCCTAAAAGGACACAAATTAATGTGCAAACAACCAATTAAAAATACCCGCAAGTGCACGAATCTATCAAAGTATAGATTATGTACGTACGGGGTCGATCCCACGAAGAACTTGTCGGCTTCCTATAAGTTCTAATTTGAGTACGTAAAGAACACTTATTTAACACACCACAAATGCACAAATGCAAAATGGAAACTAGAAATGAGTAAAGAAGTCTAAAAGAAATGGAACAACACAAGAAAACTAAAGAAAAACACAAACAGCATTTTCTATCACCATTTTATCACCTATTTATCACCTGTGAACAGTGCCGTGAACAGTGAAAAATGAACAGTGACGACCGGTCGTTTTTGGGCAGATTCGTTTCTCTGTTTTTCCAGTTTCGACCTCTGTTAAGTGTTTTGCCTATAACTTTCCAACTGTTTATCCAAATTTCACGTTCTTTATACGGTTGGATTCAGCACACAAAAACAAAGAACACAACGCGGACCAAAAGTCCAAAACAGGTACGAAAATAAACAGAATTCAGTAAACAAGACACACAACGTATCAAACACACAACTCACACACACATTTGGGGGGGGGGGGTTTGGTTTGGTTCAAGTGACCTATTTCTATTGCATGAAAGTAAATGGACTTTGAATTTAAATGAGAATAGCAGAGATGAATTATCAAATTGTGAAATTAAAATGTAACAAACACTAGGGTTTCGGAATCCACCCTAAACAATTCTACC